TTCCTTCCTTCCTTCCTTCCTTCCTTCCTTCCTTCCTTCCTTCCTTCTTCCTTCCTTTCTTATGTATATAGTACTCTGCCTACATGTATGACTGCAGGCCAGAAGAGGGCACCAGATCTCATTATAGATGGTCGTGATCCACCATGTGGTTGTTGGGAATTCAACTCAGGACCTCTGGAAGAACAGCCAGTGCTCTTAACCTCTGAGCCATCTCTCCAGCCCCAACACCATTTTTCTTTTTTAATCTCGTGGGTGAAGTGGCAGTCATGTTGCCTTGTTTAGCTGTTTGTCAGCCATTTACTTAAATGGAGGCTGGTGAGATGCATTGCTCAGTGGGTTATAGATGACACCCTTTAAGCTTGATGACCTGAGTCCCTGGACCTCGCCTGGTGGAAGGGGAGAACTGACTGGCTACCTCAGGTTATCTTCAACATGGCCCACAGCATATGCACCGCCCCCCAAACAAATAACTATATGTGATTAAAAACAAAATAAATAAATAAATAAATAATAAGAACCCAAAACCCAGTGAATGGTGGCAGGTACTTCAAGAAAAACAACTTCTTGACTATCAGCAATAAAGTCAAATTTTGAAGCAAAAGATGAGAATTTTAGCAAGCTGTGGTAAGATGGCTTCAGTGGCAGAAGGCAGTCATTTCACAGTGAAGTAGGCAGGGTTCCAGCTCAGATTCCCACACTGCCCTGCATCAGCCAGATCTGTGCCTGGGCAGTCCTCTTCCTCAAATAGTACCCAGGCATTTGAAAAAAGAAACACAGAGAGGTTGGAGAGACAGCTCAGTAATTAAGAGCACTGATGCCACTTCCAAAAAACCCAGGTTTGCTTCCCAGTGCCCACATGGCAGCTCACAAGTGTCTTTAAATCCAGGGGATTTAATGTCCTCTTAGGACATCTGCAGGCTCCAAGCATGCATGTGGTACGCACATATATACAGGCAAAACACTCACGAAGAGAAAATAATATGAAGAAAACAAATGTGTTAATTAGAAATGAGGACTGCAAGGATGGCTCAGCAATAAAGAGCACGTACCGCTTTCGCAGAGTATTTGAGTTGAGTTTGGGGCCCCAGCACCAACATCAAGTAACTCACGACTGTGTTTAAGTCTAGGTCCAGGAGATCTGACACCCTCTTCTGGCCTCCATGGGCAGCTGTACTCATATATACACATCCACACATGTACATATAATTAGAAATAAATCTTTAATTTTTTTTTTTTTGAGACAGGATTTATCTGTGTAGCCAAGCAGAGAGATCCACCTGCCTCTGCCTCCAGAGGACTGGGATTAAAGGCGTGGGTCACCACACCCGGTTAATTAAAATAATGATAATAAACGTCAAGGAAGAAAAATACTTTGAAGTAGGTAAGATGGCTTGGTCTGGGATGAAGAGGTAGGAGGTACATAAACCTAATAAAAGATGAGATTAACTTGTTTTCATAGCTTAAAGGCTGGAGGATAGTTATTAAGTTTGAAAGTGAAGCTGTTTTTAATACGAATTTTTGTACAGAATTGGTGTGTGTATTTTCCAATAAAGTTCAACTCGATACATTTATTTGATTAGATTTTGTTTTCACATACAAATATGTATAAATAATATAAAGGGTTCTTACTCTGCTGTATTTATGGAATGCTCTTGGATAGATGTCTGAGGAGAGACTTTGATTCATGTATTTCGAATGAGGATAATGTGTTTGGAGCAATGTGGTCTTTAACTTTGTGGAGGAAAAGCCAGCTTTGGTTTTTAATTTTATGTTGTCTGTTTTGGAAGCAGGCTTGACTAAGGCTGTAGCTTTGTTAATCTTACCTAATTATTACCAAAGCGTGACCAGATATCTGTAATCTTAGATTAGAAAGATTACAGGTAGTGCTCTTGTGCTTTCTTTCCTCCTCCTTATCCTCTTCCTTTTTTTTTTTTAGAGGCAGGGTCTCACTATGTATGTAGTCCTGGCTGGCTGGAACTCACTATGTAGACCACGCTGACCCTGCACTCAAAGAAATGGGGCTATCTCTGCCTCCTGAGTGCTGGGATTAAGGGTTCTGAAGCCACCACCTTGCCTGGCACTTTGCAAAGAGAGAATATGGAGGCTGCAGAGATGGCTCAGTGGTTAAGAGCACCAGCTGCTCTCACAGAGAACCCAGGTTCAAGTCCCATTATCCATGTGGCAGTCCTCTAGTCTCAGGAGATCCTGTGCCCTCTTCTGGTCTCCGTGAGTACTGTACTGCACACACATGGTCTCTCCTCTCTCTCTCTCTCATATATACACAGAGACATTTTTATTTTTATTATCTAAAATTAATTTTATTTTTATTTCATGTGCATTGGTATTTTGCCTGTCTGTACGTCTGTGTGAGCGTATTGGATTCCTTGAAGCTGGAGTTACAGACAGTTGTGAGCCACCACGTGGGTGCTAGAAATTGAACCTGGGTCTCTGGAAGAGCAACTAGTGCTCTTAACCCTGAGCCATCTCCCCAGCCTCGCACAGACATTTTTAAAAAGGACAAACTGCAGAGGTCATGCAGGTAAATGTGGTTTTAAGCAGAGAATCCAGTTCAAAACTTAAACCTGTACTTTCTTCACCTTCATTTAGAGAGGTACTTAAGTTTCGTGTAGTGACATGCCAATCCCAGAACAACCTTACTTTTGTTCTCATTAGAAATATACTTTGTAATACAAGTATAAAAAGGCAAGGTGTCCCTTTCAGTTCCCTTTTCTACTCAAAATTAATTAAGCTGGCAACTGAACTCTGATGGGTAGAAATTGCCGTACCTGGAGACTTGTGAATTTGTCTGCTCAATCATCTCTAGGGATATTTCTCTGGGATCTAATGAAAACTTAAAAGACTAAGAACTGAGGCCGCTTTATGTGATATTTTAAGAGGAAGGGGAGAATATTAAGACTCCATTTTAATGCCTGTGGGAACTTATCATTTAACATGACTAATTATTTGATATGAAAAGCCACCATCCTCTTAGGTGCATGTTCTGAAATAAGCATATAAGCTTTGTAAGAGACCCATTTTCTAGAATAAAATGAACAAATGGGGCAGGAGGGAGAAGGACAGGGTTGGGTGGTCCACCAGGGAGGGGCCAGGGCTTAGGTTGGTGGCATTGCAACACTTGGACAAGGGCTGGGGGGCATGGCTCAGTGGTATAGCACTTGTCTCTGACCCTGAGCACCACAAGATAAAGATGAAGGAAAAGAAAGATCATACCACACTTACAAAGAGACCTCCCGTTCGTTGGTTAATATAATAAAAGGGCTAATATTCTGATATTAGACTTGGCAAGTAAAAACTACATTAATGTTGTAATACATACAGAGTCTAAAGCTCAATGTGCAGCAAAAAAAAATAATGACTTCAATTGAAATTACAAAAAAATGACTTCCGATTGTAACTTTCTTAAAAGAAAGTATACAATTGGCCACAAACTGCTTAGAGGAAATCACCACCCATTCACACAAGGTTCACACATTGTGTCAATGCAGATCACACACAGATTGTCGCTTCTCAGGGAGGTTGTTTGCCCTTTGACTCTCTTTCCTATAAATCTTACCAGGCAAGAAGAAAAAAAAATAACACTGTAAAGCGGGGTTTTCCTCGACAAACATACATGGGGGAGATTTGGAAGGCATTTATAACAGGTCTGGGGTGTGTCATTCAGTAGGTAGCGTGTCCCTTAGCATTCCCAAAACCCCTTTCATTCTCCAGCCCCACAAAACCGTGGTGGTGAGCCTCTGTAATGAGTACTCAGGAGTGAAGAATCCGAAATTCACAGTCACGCTCAGCTATCAGCCTCTGCTACAGAAGGCCCCATTTTAAACAAAGAGGTGGGGTTAGGGTCCTGAGTGTGGAATCCAACTTGGGAAGCTTTGAACATGAAGATTCGAAGTCTGGAATCCTGGCAAAAGCCAGGCTCAGGGCATGGCACAGGCTCTATGGAGGCATGCTGGGTCAGCACAGGGCACATGTACTGGAAGGTCCTGAGAAAGTCCTGCCCTGAAGCAGCGAGTCCCTGAAGACCACAGCCCATGTTACAGGCTTACCTATCGTGCCTTTGAGCTTGTTATTATTTTCTAATTTATGTGCTGGTGAGAGCTAGGACGCCACAGGATAACTTGTCTGTCTCCGTTCCTCATCTTGTGTTTTGTTTTGAGGAAGGTCTTTATTATCTTTTTTAAACAGGAGATTTCTATTCTGTTTTGTTTTGTTTTGAGACGGGGTCTCACCGTAGCCCAGGCTGGCCTCAAACTCAAGGCAATCCTTCTGCTTTAGTCTCCCAATTGAGGAAACTTGTGCTCAGCTGAGAAGTGATTTTTGAAATACTTCCTTGTTAAAGGCTTGGGAGTTCAAGGGATTCCCTCGGGGACACCTGTGTCTGCTGGATGGTGCCTTGAGTAGGACAGAGGAGGCTTTGGTAGGCCAATGGTAACATTTCAAAGGGTTAAATTAAAACAGTAATGCTGAGGCAAAACCCAAACCCGATGAACCTCAGTGTTCTGGAATGGGAGCTGCTCTTCCTCACACCTGTGGCTGTTTCCCCATCTTCCCACGAAGTGTCTGCCTGGCTGGGCCGTGTTACCACAGCTTGTTTTGTCCCCAACCTGACAAATTAGTTTGAGGACCTTACAGTGTCGGGGCCTTGCTTTGTTATCAGTGGCGCTGTGCCCCCCACATACATGTACGAGTGTGCACGAGTGTGTGTAGAGTGTGTACACATATGTATGCCCCCCCCATCTGCCTTCATTAGAATGTCTGGGCCACAAGATAAATGCAGTGGTGGTCTCCACTGCTCATCTCTGTCTTCTCTGCAAACTTCTAGAGGACTCTGCATTTTTAGCACAATCATCAGTATCTGAGAGTCCCCTCTGCCACGGGACAGAGGATTTCATGGCCTTCTCCATGTCCCACCTCTGTGTCCAAATGTGTCATTTAATAATTCCTAGCTGTAGAAATGGACTCTTTGCCATCTAGCAGCTTGTGCACTTTTCACTAGGAAATGCCACTAAGAATAAGAAGTTGGTACAAAAGGGGAAGAAGGGAAGGAAGAGGAGGAAGAATAGGATTGAAGGAGAGGAAGAGGACAGAAGAGGGGAGAGAGGGGAGGGGGAAAGAGAGTGCAAAAGAGAGGGCTTCTGCCTCTGCCAGGTCTTGAGGTCAACCTGTCCTTTCCATTGGCCACCACTTGGGCTTTTTGGCACTCCCCCACTTCCTCCTCCTTTTCCTCTACCTCCCTCTCCTTTCCTTTCTTTCCCTCACTCCCTTTTCTATCCTTTCTCCTCTCGTCCTTCTTCCTTCCTCCTTGGTCCTGAGGGATGAGGACTAGCCTTTTCTACTTGGGGACAAAGCATTGCTGAGTGGCACCTCTCCATCCACCTCTGCTTCAGCAGCAGGTGCACTCCTGGGCTTTGGGACTTTCCTGCTGACAGTCCCCATGGGGCTGTATTAAGCCAGATTTCCTTCTTTGTTCTTAGGGATTCAGTGTTCTTAACAGCAGAACCCATTAAGGAGTGGAAGCAACTCTGTTCTCCTAACAAGCCATTGTGGGTGCCTTAGAGGTGTTTTCGAAAATGTATAGAATGGTTGGACTATCAAATTAATTTTTCCCATTTTTCTTCCCCTTTCAAAAGCCACATGCTACCGGGAAGATCTTTGTTCAGAGTCAAGGTAAGAATAATATATATATACACACACGTGTGTGTGTGTGTGTGTGTGTGTGTGTGTGTGTGTGTATAAAATACACATACAACTTACTACATTTATTTTATTCATCTGTGTTCATGTCCACACCACAGCACACATGAAAGAGATCAACTTTCAGGACTCAGTTCTCTCTCTATTCTCTTTGTTTGTTTGTTTTTTCTTTCTTTCTGTTTTTTTGTGTAGCCCTGGCTATCCTGGAACTCACTCAGTAGACTAAGTGAGACGAAGATTTGCCTTGACCTGGGGGATGAGGACTCTTCTGCTCTATACCATTTCCCTCCCCTCCCCATACTCACAGACAGTGACACATGGCTCATTTATCCAGCTACAATGAGCCTTATATACCACAGTCCTAGAGGGACAGAGGGATCTAAAGAAGAACCTAGGGCTGATTTGAGTTAGGTGGACATAGGTGCAGTGGCTGAGGCAGGGAGCCACTGAAATGTATTGGCTTCCCAGGTCCCCCCTAGGCTTCATCAAGTCACTTGGGCTCCAGTGGGCCTCTGAGACCCCAGCGCTTGAAAGAAGGTCAAAGCTGAGGGAATTCCAGCCAGCCCAGGTTACATGAGACCTTACCTTATTTTTTAAACTTTTCTTTTTAGTTTTTCTAGACAAAGTTTCTCTGTGTAGCTTTGGCTGTCCTGGACTTTGTAGACCAGGCTGGCCTTGAACTCATCGATCTGCCTGCCTCTCCCTCCCTGAGTGCTGGGATTAAGGGCATGTGTCACTACTTCTGGCTTCAAACAAACTCCTGATCAGAGTCTCCACTCTCTCCACCCCTTTCTTCAGAGCCTTTGTGTGTATCTACCAGGCTTCCCTTAGAACTTGAGGCAGCCCTTCCTTCAGCCCCACCAGGTGTTGGTTACAGGCATGAACCATCACTCTTGGGTGAACTGTTCTTTTTTGTTGTTGTTATTGTTTGTTTTGTTTTTAAACACACACATACACAAAGTTTAACTTAAAAAAATCCAGCTAAGGAATTGACAAAGAATGCAAAATTGTGCACAATTTGTTGAGTGTTGGTTTTAGGAGTTGTAAGTGAAGGTGAACCTTTACCCAGGGTGGTAGAGCTCATGTGCTGATGTTTTAGAAGATGACCTGAGCTTCTCTTTAAGTAGCTCAAGGTCTGTACCACCCAGAGCAAGATGGCAGGCGAGCAGGTGGTGCAGGAGTGGGGTGGTTCGAGTGGAATGGGATGGTGTGAGTGGGATGATTCCCTGGAATCCAAAGGTGCCTTAAAGCACGGGCCCAGGGCCCATGGAATGGATTTTTAAGAACCAAAACTTCACCTTGTTTTCGTTCATACTCCTTCCACCAGGAATTGCGACGGTACCAAATGCCGACTATAACTGGGACAACTTCCTCCAGCAATCAGGTAAGGTGTGGCTCCCTTTCTGGGGCTTTGCCAGAGCATCTTTTGCCATCTGCCATCAGTTCCCTGTTTCAAAGAGTCTTTCTGGACGCTGCTTTTCTCTTTCTGCAATGCTTTGATCTGCGATAATGGGAGTGGTCTGACCTTTATTCTTTATGCATTTGCCTAGATGTTTTCTCAGGAGGCACTCCTAACTGTGGGTTTCTATGTGAGACTGTGCACTTAATCTGAGCTCCATGCATCTTGCAAGACTGTTGCCTGGCAAGGTGGCATGAGAACACAGGCTATTGGTGGTGTGGGAGAGCGGCTGCTTCCAGCCTGTGATGAAATTCAGAGAAACTCAACCACTTTGGCTTCCACTACTGGTGTGGAATAAGCTCATTGATGATGCTTGTACAGAGGTTTATTGTGAAAAATATTTTGAATACAGGCTGTTTATAAACAAGGCCCGCTGCATAAGATTTTTTTTTTTTTTTTTAGGATCAAAATTCCCAATTAGATGTCCACCCCATTCATTCTGGGTCATAAATTCTAGAAGGGGCAAAGCTGTCCACTGACAAAAGATTTGAAGACAAGAATTCCTGTGTTTTAACCCAGCATGTTTTCCCAGAGACCACAGTGCTGATTTGTGTTATTTGCCTGTGTTGCCAGCTGTTTGTTAGGTGTGTGCACACGGATGTGTGTCAAGGCCATTAGGCAACCTCAGGTGTTATCCTTAGGAATCGTTCACCCTGATGATTGAGACACTTTCTCTCACTGGCCTGGAGTTCACCAACTAGTCCAGTGAGCCCCAGGAATCTTCCTGTCTCCACCTGGGATTAAAACTGCATACCCCTGTGTGCACTTTTTATGTGGGTTCTGGGAATGGACCTCAGCTCCCTCAGACTTGCAAGTCAGTTCTTTACTGCCATCTCTCCAGTCCTGTATTTAGTAGTGTTTGCAGGGTCTGAACTATGTGCTCCTGAGGGGCCAGTTGAAAGTATAGACTTTGCTATAAACTTCTGAGGCTCAAAGTTTGAAATCAGTTGCCCATCCACATCTGATGTGAGGGCACCTCAAGCCCATTTCCACTCCAAAAGACTCACCCAAAATCTCCACCACAGATGGCATTGTCAGCCTTGGTTTCAACTGAAAAGAAAAATCCCAAGCATTTTCTTTAAAAAAAAAAAAAAAATTCCATAGCACATTCAAATCATGGCTGTTCTCAGTGTTACAAATGAACCTCCTCAGACCCCATGGCTTCTTCACGTCAGCATGTGGGTACAATGCTTCAGGTCCAGGGGAGGCCTCCTTTAAATTGCCTGCCTTAAGGTTATGTCCGTCTCAACATTTTAGGATGGGATGGAGGCATAACTGTGACCCATAATTCCCAAAAGCCGAGTGGCTTTTCATCAAAGTCTCAGGGCTGATGTTTGGGCTTGCAGTGGAGTGAGTAACAGAACAGACGAGAGGTTTAAAATACTCCCCTGAAGGCATGCATGGCTACTGTCCCATCTCAATGTGAACAGTTAGAAATCCTGTCTGTTTAGAATATGTGGGTGCGTGGAGACCCTGGCTAGGGTAGCTGACACAGGAGGAAGACAGCAAAGCGGGGGAGCCCTTACAGTGCTTCTGTGGGTTTTACAGTTCCTATCTGTACAATCGATCGTCTCTGTTGAGTTTTGGTCTTAGAGGACAGTCTGGCCTATCATCCCTCCTCTGTCTCACCTGGGCTTCTGGGGTTTTTGTGACCTGGATTGTGACCTGCCACTTCTTTGCACCTCAAATGATGGGCAGAAGATGTAGAGGATTTGATAGGGGCTCTTAGTGAACAAAAGCCCTTTGAGTTCTGGGTGGGTAGATAGAACGGGACCTCATGAGACTATTCAAGTAGGTGGGTCATAAAAGTTTATAGCTGCTCCTTAAACATCTGATGCTATTTTTTTAAAAGATTAATTTATATTTATTTTATGTGTATCTGTGTTTTGCCTGCACTTATGTCTATGTACTATGTACAGAGGGCGTCAGACTCCCCTGGAACTGGAGTTACAGAGGGCTGTGAGCCACCATTTAGGTGCTGGGAATTTAACCTGGGTCTTCTTGAAGAATAGGCAGCTCTCTTAGCTGCTGAGCCATCTCTCCAGCCCGATCCCATGTGTATAGTGTGCAGTGCCCCCCCCCGCCACCAGTATATTGCAGGTTCTGACATGCCTCAGTACGTATCTCCCAGCCCTAGCTCACAAATCAGTGCCGCATCAGTTCAGAACGTCAAAGCAGTTCTATGACACCAAGATTCCGTATTCAGACACATCAAGTTAGCACTAACTAGGTAGCTTACGGGCGGCCCACAGAGCCGCAGTGACTGTCCATGTGTTCTTTATGGCTAGCTCTTCTGATAAAAATATGAGTATCTATACCAAACTCCTTACATGGTCAGTGAGGTTCCCTATTCTTTTCCAGGTGCATGACAATTATTGTTATGACAGTGTTCTGAGATTTTTTGCATATACCTGCCAACAACTTACACATCTAAAGCAAAGGACCTAACAGGCCATCAGAACCCCAGAAAGAGGAAGGCTACTCTCGCCAGTTTTGTTTTCTACGGTCCTCCCTTCAATTCCTGTCGCTGCAATAAAACACCCCAAAATAAAAGCAGCTTAGGAGAGAAAGGATTTATTTGAGCTCACAGTTCCAGGTTACAGCCTGTCACTGAGGGGGATGTCATGACCAGAACTTGATGTAGCTTGGCCACACCACATTCACCATCAAGAGCAGAGTGAAGAATGCATGTACGCCTGCATTCAGTTTACTTTATTCTCTTTATACAGTCCAGGAGCCAATCGTAGGGAATGTTGTTGCCCGTAGTGGGCAGGCCAGCCTCTGCAATCACTCACTGAGACTCTTCCCAAGATATACTAGAGTATGCCAAGCTGATAAATGAGCTGCCATCCATTTTATTGTATTTATATTATTTATATCATCATCTCTCTTTTCCTCACACGCACATTCTCTCTTTTTCTCCATCTACACTCCTACACTTGTCTATCTTCTTTTTGCTCCCTCTCCCCATTTCTCTTCCTCTTCTTTGAAATAAGGTCACAGGAAGCCCAAGTTGGCCTCCAACTTTCTATGCAATGGAGGATTGTTTTGAACTCCTGATCTTTCCCAAGTACTGGCATTACAGATGTGTACCGCCACACCTGATAATCTTCCCACCCTCCCCCGACTCTCTCAACCCTATTTGTTTTTCTGCGTGGTGGAGACCCTAACATCCTAAACCCTCTTCCTTGTCTATTCCTAAGAAAACCCATTTGGTTTTCACCAAATGGGTTTTCACCCATTTGGGGTGAGGGTGCTACTGAATCTCCATTCTTACTGCTTTTTTTGTCTTTTTTCTTTGTGTGTGTGTGTGTGTGTGTGTGTGTGTGTGTGTGTTTTCAAACAGGGTTTCTCAGTGTAGCCCTGACTGTCCTGAAACTTGATCTATAGGCCAGGCTGGCTTGGAACTCACAGCGATCAACCAGCCTCTGCCTCCCAAGTGCTGAGATTAAAGGCATGCACCCCAATGCCCGGCTTGGATCTCCATTCTTAAACTAGCCACAAGTCAGATCCATTTTTTTAAAATCTAGACTCCAGTCAGCATTAATACCTTTGGCTGAGGTTCTCCAAGCCTTTTTTTTTTTCACTCATACAGTTGAGGGATAGGAGCAGCACAAGGACAGCATGTGATATAGTGGCCCCTGTCCGTGCTCTCAGCATTCCAGAAACAAGGGCAAAAGGTCCATCAAACATTCAAATCCAGCCTGGGCTACACAGATACTTCCAGGCCAGCTAGGGTTACGTAAGACTGTGCCTCAACAAAACAAAACAAAACAAAACAAAACAAAACAAAACAAAGATGGAAGAAGAGGTGTTGGCACTGAAGACAGGGCGGGAAGCCATAGCTGCTGGCATTCAGCCTGTCCAGCTGTCTTCATGTGTGATCAGGCAGCCCTGTGTTGAGTCTGTCCCTGGCCACGGATGCTAGACCAAGGAAAAAAAAAAAGGCATGCCAACCTATTTTAAATACACACACACACCTATGTACGTGACAGGGCTGGGCTCACACCTGTACTTATCCAAGCGCACGAGCATGGGCAGGCTGCAGGCACAAGCTCTGATCTAAACAGTGAACAAAAGTCACTCAGGCTTTAGGTAGCACCTGCTTTGCTCAAGCTGCTGCCGGTCCATCTCTTTTAAAAACTAAAAGCAAGCACAACACTTTCCCTTGAGGCTGTCAAGGGCAGCGAGGGCTGGAGAGTGGCTGCCGGCTCACTCGGTAGAGCCGTGGTTCTCAGCCTTCCTAACACTAGGACCCTTTGATACAGTTCCTCATGTAGCAGTGACCCCCAGCCATAAAGTTATTTTTGTTGCTACTTCCTAACCGTTATTTTGCTACTGCTGTGAATCATAATGTGAATATTTTTGGAGACAGAGGGTGGCCAAATGTGGTCACGAACTACTAGATAGAGTCCAATCCCAAGTGTGCTGGACTCCAGCCCTTTGCTCTCTGGTTGGGTTTTTTGAGTGTTCATCTGTCTGAAAATGATCCTCCTATCTGTGGGCAGGACACGCCAGGTTCTTCTGAGTTTTCTTTCTTCCTTCACGTTTTCTTTTATTTCTAGAAGATCAGACATGGAATGCCCTTATCTACCATTCTCTAATTTAGTTTCCTGAATTCTCATTACATTTAATCTCCAGCCCAGCAAGATGATTTGAGAGGCGCAATGGATATAGGATTTACTCTTCCTCCAGGGTCTTCTAGGTCAGGAGGCTCAAAATCAATTTAGAGTGTTGGGGGTGAGCACTTTAAAAAATTGAATAGAAAATAGGAGGGTACTTGGGATGTAGTAAGGCTGAAGGATGCATTTTTATTTTCTTTATTTTCACTTAAATAACATTTCTGAGAGAGGGTCTCACGTACCCCAGGCCAGCATAATAGTTTCTGTGATGACCTTGAACTTCTAAATCCCCCTGCCTCCACCTTCTGAGTTGCTAGCATTGTGGGCACGCATCATCACTCCTGGTTTATGCTTTGATGGTGAGTGGACCCAGGGCTTCCTCCAAGCTAGACAAGTTCTCTGCTGATTGTTCAATAGTCCCATCTGGTAGATTTCCAAGGCAGCCTAAAGACAAAGAGACAGAGAGACAAGGTATTCTAACCTTTCAGTAGATGGGACTGTGTTTATTGGCGCTCACGGTGAGGGGCCAGGCTCTTTCCCACAGGGGAAAAAGGGCAGAAATAATTGCAGTACATCTTTTCTGCAGCCCCTGCCTCCCAGAGTTGCCTGCTCAAAGTGAGACAGGCTCATCCCAACAGGTGACTGAGCAAGGTCCAGCAAGATTATCTGTAACCTTGTAGGAAACCTATTTTGAGAGCGAAGCATTCTATCAATCATCCACCTGAAATTTGTGTGTGTGTTTGTGTGATTTTAAGTTTTTTAAAACTTATTTTTATTTATGTGTATATATAAATATATACACATATATATAAATAAATATAAACTTATATTTATTTATTTTTTTTAAAACTTATTTTCCTGTGTTTGAATATGGTAACACGAACATGCCTGATGCCCACAGAGGCCAGAGGAGGGCATCAGATCCCCTGGAACTGGGAGTTTCAGGTGGTTCTATGCTGCCCCATGGGTGGTGGGAATGGATCCCATGTCTTCCGTGGGAACAGCCAATGCCCTTAACCACTGGAGTCTCTCCATCCCCTGCAGTATGTTTTCAGGGGTTCTCAGCTGCAACGTGGTGCATATCTTCCTGTGAATTATAGGCAGTTCCATGGAAAGCAGAGCTGAGGCCCATGGACCAGCCTCTTCCCAGGCTGTCTCTCGCAACCATCTGGGTCCCAGAAGGTACACAGCTAGACTTCCCCAGTACCTCCCAGCTGGGCTGACAGGTGTTCGAGTAGCTGCTCTGAGAGCAGGTGACCCAGGAAGGAATGAGTGTCCCCAGCACCTGTGTCACATGGGGACACATGGCAGTTGTCTCACGAGGGTCTCCTCAAGCAATTCTGTGAGCTACCAGAATGTCATCATGATGCAGCATTTGGCTTACATCCTTATATTTTCCTCCCAACTCAGTGAAACCACTTTCCCATCTTTCGGATCCTTAGTACTCCCCCACTGCTTGCCTCTTCTTCTTCTTCCTGTCATGCATTTAATGAATCTCCCCACGTCGAGGGTGTGAGCAGATTGGAGCAGTGTTTTACTCTGGAGCTGGTTGGGTTGTCCTGTTGTGCTTGTAAGTTTTGAGTATATGAACTCCTGTGTATGTACTCATGCTGTGCACGCATCTGTGTGGCAATGTGGGGTGTATCCAGGTGGCTCGTGGTTGTGCGTGTGAATACACAGGTCACATGGGTGGGGCTGAGGTCTCTTGCTCTAGCTAAGGAGCCTCCTCCCTGATTTCACCATGTACAGAATTATATTTACTTCGAAATGAATAAGTGAGTCGTTTGAAGGTAATTTTGATCTCCGTTCCCAGCAGACCTTCAGCTGGAGGCTCAGGTACAGTTTGGTTGCTCTTCCATGGGAATGAAGGCTTAAGCTGCCTTTTCAGTCTAACCTTTCCTCCCCTCAGGTTTTATTAAGGAGAATAGCTTATCATTTATTAAAGGCAGTCGCTTGACTCTTGACCTTGCATCCCAGTGCCTGAATTCCAATTCTTTGACCTTGAGACCACATTCTGCTTGTAGCTTCTGGCTCAGACCTTAGTCAAGTATACACTCACTAAGGTTTGTCTGCTGAAGTCAGTTCAGAGAGAGATTCAGAGTCTGGGGGAAGGGATGCAAAACCCTCAAAATAGCCTAGTGATATTGTCAAAAGTTAATTCAGAGACTGTAGTAACTTTATATTCATTTATTATGCATAAGATGTATATATATATATATATATATATGACATTATACATTGTGACATTTTCATATATGTATATAATGTTTTTTTTTTAAGATTTTCTTTTATTTTTAATTATGCATGTGTATCTGTGTGTGCATATGTGCACTTGTGTGCAGTGCTCTAGAAGGCTAGCAGGGGGCACTGGATCCTCTGAAGCTCGAGTTGCATACCCTTGCAAGCTGCCAAATGGGTGCCTGTAGCTAAACACGAGCCTTTTGCAAGAGCAGTAAGCTCTTAACCACCATGCCACCTCTGCTGTCCCAGTGCATAAAGAATCTTGTTCATGTTCACCCTGAATTTTCTTCCTTTTTTCCCCCTTTCCTTCCTTCTTTCTCTTTTTTCTCCTTCCTTCCTTCCTTCCTTCCTTCCTTCCTTCCTTCCTTCCTTCCTTCCTTC